AAGGTCGAGACAATCGGCAATTTCCACTGGCATAAACAATGAACGTCAGCACTTCCGTTGTTTGTCTCGGAGTTTCTATTTGTTTATCTTATTTCCCGACGTCATTATCATGAGTGAATCTTCGCCCACTGTCTCCACCCACACCCTCAAGAGATATTCACAGAGGATTTCGTCTTCTCCATGGAATTGCGTAGGAATTCCTCGTGTCTTCTCTCAGGAATTTCACTATGATTTGATAAATCAAGGCTAACACACTGAAATTATTTCTTTCGAGTAATGGTATTTATTCATTTTCTGGTATCAATGGTGAAATTTCAAAAATTCGTCGATTGTTTTATTTAAGATATATTTCATTTGGAGAATTCGGTTTAAGTGGAAAAACTTTAATTTTTCGGTCTCTAGGGAAATTGTTGATGATTTAAGTACATTTCATGCTCAATTTTTAGAAATTGATTTTTGAATTTTAAGGAGGGAAATGGGGAATTTTGGAATGAATGGAATTGCATTCCGGTTTTTAATTGGATTATGGCATTTCTTGGCGCGGTTGGAGCGTTTCTAATTAATTGCAGGTCTATATCGAAAATGCACGTCCTCCAGTTTCTTGGAGGTGTCTCAAAATTATTCGCCTTGCAACGTTCAATGTCACTGTCGCTATCATCTCAAAAACAAATTGCTTTGAATTTTAAGATGTTCGGGGAACATAAGTTGGCACGCCAAGCCGCTGGACAGTTGGATCATCCGATAAATTATGGATTATCTAATATACTCAAGGGCCCGAGTATTCAAGCTACATATTCCCCTACCCACCCCGAAAAATTGGCAATTTGGATTTTTAATTTTTAATGTTTAATTCTCATATCAATCCGGGTAAAAAAAATTTTAATCGGAATATTTTTTTTTTACTCGAAAATGCAGAACGAAAAATCAATAGTTACACCATTTTTCCAATTGACTTCACCGGACTTTCCATTTCCAATATTCCATACTCCGGGAATAATTTCCATTTTCCCACAATTTTCCCACAATTCGGTGAAAATTCTCGTCATTTAGACGTGAGTAAATGTAAAAAGGGTTCGATTTTTTGGAGAAAACTGGAATTCTTTGAAATTTCCCTGGAATTCTTTCCCCGTTCACCTGGAATTAGAGAGAATTTTCCGGAAAAACTCAATAAAATTACTGAACATGGTAATCCATTCGGAGTGCAGTATTCCCTCGACTCTGTGAACACGATACAAGTGTGTATCATTCCCGATGTATTTATATTTTGAATTCGGTCACGGCCAGTCGAGAGAGATGTCTTGCTGTCTTGATGTCTTGATGTCTCTGCCAGCACCAGAATTATTCCGTTCATTACCTACATATTCACCCGCATCGCACCGACTATTCCACACGAAACAAGTGATTACACCAGAAAAGAGTCGAACACCTGAGGTACCAGCGTGGATTTCCTTCTAGTAGATGAAGAAGAAGCGATTGGCTAGAGAAGAAGTGACGAGTGACTGACCTTTGCAAATGCCTGACGTACAGTAATGTTTACCCCTTGTTCATGATATCCTGAAAAACTCAGAACTGCGCCAATTTTTTTCTTCGATGACCTTCTCGCCACCCAAGAATCGAGGTTTTTCGGAATTCTTTTGAATGTTGCAATTTTTATTCTGTTAATTTATAAATAGACGATTCCTCTTGACCCAGTTATGCCCTCGGTCACAGCATCGAAATTAGATCGTTCCGTGAGGAGTGACGGTTTATTTTTTCCCCAGATTTCGTGCACACAAAAAAATTACCTTCACCGGTTCCACATTTAGAAAAAAAATAATCTTGACAATTAATTTTTCTTTTGAAAAACGATTTCAGGCAGATATTTTCGGCATTCAGTTGGGAAAATTTTCTTCAGGGCAACGGGTACTGAAAATTCAGTAGTAAAAAATGGTGGATCAATTTTTAAAGCAGTTGGCCATTTTCTTTCCGAATTTGTATGAATCAAGTAGATAAATTGCCGATTTTTAATTGAAGTCCCAAAGAATTTTTCATGGAAGCTCCAAAATTCATGGAATCCTCAAATTCCAGTTGAATTACCCCGCCAAAATCACTGAAGTGATTGAATTATTTCAGACAGAACAAGAATTTCCGGAATTCACCACTGAAAATGGAACGGATAATTTGGAAAAGCCAATTATCATCGCACGGGGTTAATCCATTGAAAATATTGTTGAATCAATTGAAGTCTCAATGAATGAATTGAAATCAATAATTTTCGAATAACTCCAGACGATGATGAGGATGTCTAGGTGTTGTGATAGTTATTCCCCTCGTAGGGAGACGCGAGTGGAGTCACTGGAATCGATATGGGAGTCTTCAGTAGTGAGGACGCTGATCCCTCCCGGAGGTAAATTGAAACTTATGAGTTTTTCTCCAGTTACTCTGGAAGGACTTACCCCTGGTGGAGGGTGCGGGTGCGCAGGAGCATCAGAGGGTTGACGGTTGGTCGGAGGATCGCTGGAAGGAGGTTCATTGGTCGAAGAGGGGGAGCTGGTGAACATCCTGAGGGATTTCATTGTCCGCCATTCCTCTTCGTGGATAAGGAGCTCTAAATAGAGAGCTCATATATTCCGAGGAAATCGCCTGATCTTCATTCACCTTTTTTATGCTCACGAATATCTCGAGGACATTGAAGATATCGATAGCTCTGAGTCTTAAATCAATCGTAATTATAGAAAAAAATGTTTTTTTTTCTTTAATGGCTCGGGTGAAAAAAGATTTTCTTCTGCTTTATAAGCCGAACATTAAGGCAACACAACAGTGACATATTACAAGAAATAAAAAAGGAGGAAGGAATGGCTGTTATTATTTTTTTTAGCGACACGCATACCCCCTATTTTCCATTCTTCGAGCCACTCTGAAAAATATTTTTCTACATCACTTTACAACTCTCAGGGATTTGAAGAATCAAATAATTTCAGGGAAGTTATTTATTTATTTAGGATTGAAGTATCGGCGAAATCCCCGAGGATATCACTGCGGTGGGTCGCAGCGCTGATCTTATGAGGCCCCCGTACACCTGGTCGCGAGCACCGTTTTGGGCCCATAAACAAGAATTTGTCAGGCCTCCTGCGGAAAAGGACCGACACTTATTCACTGTTCGATTCCATCCCCACGCACATATTTTTACAACTGGGGGACAAGAAGTCCCGGCAGACTGATTTTCCAAATTTCACGCCCATTATCCATTGTTGGGTGAGGGTATAGAAAGGAGAATCGTATTGACCTTATGACAAAAGTTGTTGACTCGTGCATCTGAGGAGACTGTCTATTTCACCTCGGGGAGCAAACAGCTTCCTGACGCTTGCTATTTCAACATGCAATTGCAATAAACAGCGGAGACTAAGAGTTCATGAAATAATATCAAAATATTTCCCTCTTTGCATCATTCATTACAATTTAATCTTCTAATTTTTTTATTTTTCAAAAACGCACCAAAAAGCAAAAACAAAAAGTTCACAAACTTGAAAAAACGAGATACCCGGGTAAAAAAAAATTGTAATCGGAATATTTTTGCCAAATTTTGGAAAAAATATTCCGATTACATTTTTTTTATTTTTTATTATTACAAAAAATTGTAATCGGAATATTTTTTCCAAAATTTGGAAAAAATATTCCGATTACAATTTTTTTATTTTTTAAAACCCGGGTATCGTTATCACTAGGTTATCACGACTCTTCAACAATCCCAAGTGATCGCTGGGATCATCAAAAAAAGGCAACTGAAAATAAAAAAAAAAATCCTGATTAATACGCAATACATGTGTGAACAAGCTCGTGATGGGTTGTCGTTAATCCGGTTTTTACCGACATGACAATGCCAAAGCTCATTGGTATGTTAATAGTTCCAGAGGGATGATGTCAGCCCCCTGCATGAGCTGTATATTGGTTATATCGCCACGCCCGCCCGCCGCGAATCTAATATCAAAGCAACACGTCACTTTACGGTTAACGTACATAAGCCCTGGTGGAAGGCTCAAGGGGCTAAAACAGCCCAGTGTAATAGTTTTTGGGGGTCCGGGGCTTTTCTCGTGGCCTCCGTTGACGTCCGCCGGATCTGACCCCCAGCACTATGACAAGTATATTAAGGCGAGCGTTTATATCAATTAGGCGACGACGTTTTTAGGAAGAAGGGTGGAACACTCCCCCTTACTACCCCTTGCACCCTCCCAAACTACCTCCCCCATCACCCCATGACTTCAGTCTCTCTGGCATTAGCACACCCATGGAGTATCAACCCCTCATGCTGGGAATGGCTTTCTGAGGATCAACCGCCGATTTTTTAACACCTCGATGATGCACACGTGTGCTTGTCCGTGCTCGAGGAATCACGATGATTTTCATATTAAAAATCTGGGGTTGAGGAGCCGAGGTTGATTGATTGGCGGATTTTGTGGTTCCCTTGGAAGGTTGAAAAATCGAAACTCCACTGAGGGAATGATTTGATGTAATTAATTTATGATTCATCTTGAAAATTGAAGGGAATTTTTTCGATTAAAAATTGATTGTCAGGAGAATTGAACTTGAATTTAGTTTCAATCGAAATCGAAAGTAAGTTTAATAATTATCTGTTTACTCAGAGAAATTTATTCTGTCGTGATTTTTGTTTGACTCACTTCTACTCAGGACATGAATTCTCTCGTGATTTATTAGTTCGACGTTAGTTCCTTCTTCGTTGGTTTCACCTAGTCGACGGGGATGCAGAAGAGGGAGTGGAACAGGGCATCGATCGATCTTCCGATGGTTTTTCCATTGTTCTCGATCGTGTACGGAATTGGGAGACAGATAGGCGTCAGTCCATGCCGCAACGGAAGCATGGGACACGCCTATTTAGCGCCTATTTAGGGAACACTAACTTCAGCTGGTCGATGCAATGTTAAATGGTTTTCAACGACAAACTTTCGCAACGGTTTCAACCACCGTGGAGCATTCTTCAACCGAGAAAATAGATCCCCGAAGATCTCGGGAAAGTTCATAATGTACCCCCGCAAGTTTTCATTTTTCCACTTCGCGATTCATTTCATTATCCAATCGCAATAAAATCCTCGCTGAAAGAAAAAAAAATTCAATCCAAAAGTCGATAATTAAATTTATTTAAAAAAATTTCAGGGTTCAACTCAGTTGAAGAAATTCTTCATTCATTAATACAATTGCACGTGGTGCTGATAATTCAGTGATTATAATAAAAAATATTAATTAAATGGAACAAGAAAAATTGTTAATGTGAAATTATCGAATTGTTTTCTTGAAATTGATACAATGTCAGTTCGAGAGTTTTTAAACACCCGGGTAAAAAAATTGTAATCAAAATATGTTTTCCAAATTCTTCAAAAATATTTTGAAAAATTTTTCAAAACCTTTCCCAAAAACAAAATTCTTTTGTTTACCTTATTTTTCTGTTTAATAAAAAAAAAATTCTGAAAAGTTTTCCAGAAATTTTTTGAAAATTTGGAAAAAAATATTCTGATTACAATTTTTTTTACCCGCGTAATTAAACCGGGGGAAATTCGAGGAATTATAAAAAAATGAAATAAAGATTTTCAATGGATTCAGATGAATGACCAGAAATGAAAAGCACTTTGCCAAATGAATCCATAAAATCATCATGCTCAATCGAGCAAATAACCTCGGAATACGGGAGTAGTTCTCTCCACCGTAAAAAATCCAATCTCTGTTGACAAATATGAGATTAAAATTGATGCAACGACAGTACCCGAAGGTCAGGATGTCACGACAGAGAATTTCAGTGGTTGGATGACAGAATGTGCCTCCATTGTCGATAGAAAAAGGTATCGTTAAAAGGGGCGTATAAATCCCGGCGATATATATTTTTCTATTTAGCATCATTTCTCGCACCTTCGATAGTTTCCTTTTTACACGTCTCGACAATGCCAGAGAATTTTCCGGCTTCGACGGGAGCTTTCGCCTTCCTAAATGCCAGACAATGAATTGGAACACATCCCTCCGGGGTGACACCGCTTTTTCGCATGGGACAATACCTTAAACATCCGGTCAATCCAGAAAAGGGATTCAATCGAGGTGAGTAACATCTCTCGTCTCTCTCCGGTATTTTTTTTTTCTTCGTGTTGCGCCGTGTAATTGTGGTCGTGTTCTTTTTTATTGGTGACTTTTTACCGCTTCCGGACAATGACCGTGTTTTGGGCAATTTTCGTCATGGATCCGACGATTGTGCCACTTCCTCAATAAAATTTTCCCGAGAACAGGTCACACCGGGAGAAATTCATTCAAAAATTAGACTGCCCAATAATAAAATCCCGTTTTTACTGATCAGAAAATATGAGAATTTATCTGAAAATAAAAATCGAATTAATTATGTGAAAGCTCACAAAAAAAAATTCAAGAATTGAAACCACAATTATAAACACAATTATATGAGTTTGAATTTTAATTCAGAATTTTTATAATACAAGCTTGAATTTTTATATTAATTTTCCAAAAATTTCAATAACGTAAGAAATTCAGTGCCCGTTAATTGAAATTAAATTCAAACTGATGTAATTGAAAATTCAAATGACTTTCCGTATTACAGGAAGAAAATGTGTAATTCTATTAAAGACAATCTCTGGTGGTTAAGCTGGGCTGGCAGAGTGGATTATTTAGAGGCCACAATGTTGATCAAAGAATCCCGGAGAATGATTTTTCACCCTCGATGAGGCAGGGGGGAAGGAAGCTGGAAGTTATACCGTCGGCATCGACTCAGTGAGGTCAACCCCTCCTGGGGCACCTGGGCAAAGGCGTGGCCTTTCAGCTGTGGTCGATAGAATACTCCTGGTCCAACCTCTCCAATCCTCACACCAACTCCCTTCTCTAATTACGCAGCAAGCCTTTTTTTTCCATTCCTCATCGGCTAGGGAAAAATCTCGGAATAGATCTCGCGAGTGGGCGACGGATGAATGCGAAATAATGTATTGACTCGTGACGTAGGTAATGGAAACGTAGAGCTCACTACGTCAGCCCGATTGGATTTAAGTGCTGGCTTGTGTTACCGGATGCTTTCGTAATAGCATTTCTGCCTCGGGATCCCACTCCAATATAACTCATAATTAATCGCCACCAGCTTTTGTTGCCAATCGTGTCTATGAGCTTCAGATCATTCGCCACGCGACAATTCCTCGATTATTTGGAATGTTCAATAATTTCCTGAGGGAATTGTAATTTCTGCGGCAGGGAATTTTAATCTGACTTAGAGGGATAATACATCGTTGTTACAAATTTAATTTCAAGTAAAAAATGATAAATGATTTGAAGTGAAATTTTTTAACGAAATAAATTATTAAAGTCGCGGGAAATTACGCGTCAGTCAAATTATTTGAGTATTCTGGTAATTCTCTATTTCTGGGTCTACGGGCGATGAAAAATATGAAAATGATTCATCAGAATTTTTTCGGCATCATTGCATTAACAAATAAAAGGAATTTGTATTAGATTCAATTGATTATAATTTTTGGGTATGAATAAAATTCCTTGAGTATTTGACTCTCCATCATCCAGAGTTCAATCCTCTGGATCTACCACTCATCATCGAACCATTTCCAACGCTCGAGTATCCGGAAATATTAATGCGTCTGTTTCTCAAGTGAAAATTACATAATAATCTATTTTTGGTATTAAACATCAGCATCGTGCATGCTATCACCGCCCCAAAAATAATCCCCGCGAAATTGTTTTATAAATACCTCAGTGGACTCTAATGAGAAATAAAATTTCCTGATGACTAATTGTCAGGGCAGTGACACTGAATTGAATTAAAGAGGAAAATTTCAGTTGTCGCGAAAATTCAATGAAATTTTCCAGTTCATGTGAATTTCTGAAAAATATAAAATAATTATTATAAAATAATTATTATGGTACTATAATTTTTTTTCTTGCTGTCTGATAAAATGGAGAAATAGATACTGCTTCTGGGAGTGTGATTCAGGATTTTGTGGGGCATTTATCGAGGGATATTTACCACAATTTAACCAAAAAGGTGGATCACTGGGGAGAAATTGGTTGAAGGCTGGCGTTTAACGAGCTTAGCGACGCCACGTCGCACCCAGCATTGTTGGCTGCTTTCTGAAAAAAAAAGGATCTTTCAAGCCCAGAGTGTACACAATGTACATCAACTGGATATTTTCAGTGTTGGGAGAAATATTTCGAGGGAAATTGAGCGAATAATCGAATACAACTCGCACCAACGCCTCGAGGACAACTGATGTGTTTCCTTCAAACACCAAACCATGACCAACTGGGAGACAAATCCAGGGATAATCCTGGCTGGTTTGTGGTACAATGAGGTCCTTGGTGGAAAACATACTGCACTGGGTAAATATCTGGGCTTTTCAATTCTTTATTCCCAGGAAGTGAATTTTTTTGGATCTTAATTCATTTGCTCTCACACATTTCTAATCAATCGGCTGTGAGAGATATTTCTTATTTTTTTATTTAAGGATTAAGGGAGATATCGAAATGATTATAATACCCTTTTTCGTAGTCCTCAATGAGCTCTCCAAAAAAGATTCCGACAAAATTTTCGCGATTTCCCTTAATTCCGTAGATTTTTCGAAAAACTCACTGGCAATCAAAATCGTCGATATCGTTTTACCTTTCCTTTCGGTTGTGACTCCTGTGAATCCTGTGGGAAAATGGGCAAAAAAAACCATGGGTATTTTATCCTCAGTAAATTCCAGCAATGAAAAATAATTTTCCCCAGCAATTGCAATATGTGCAGTATGCAAAGCAAGGAGAACCTCCCCTTTATCAATGGGAGCATCGGCTAATGGATGACGCGCGTGCAGCGTTCAAACTGTCGTGCCCATTGTCACGGTTTTATATCGAAGAGAAAGAGGAGGTAGTGAATGCGAGGGTGGGAAAAATTATTAAGTGCCTCGGAGGTTGTTGAATACCCACTGGCAGGGTGTGATGGGCCTGTGGGGCTTTTTCACACGTGCCTCCAACGTCTAAATTAGCCTGTTCGGCATTGACTTATCGTTATCGTTAACCGATCAAAACCCACGCATTTCCCGGGCTTGTACTCCCCTTCATTGTTTACTCACTGACACGCTTTTACCATGATCCTGCCGTTTACACGGAATTTTCGACAATTTTGAGCTTTGATTTCGCTCGCCATTCGATCTTACTCTATTGAGATTAATCGTGGAATAGACTCAAATAATTCTGTTCTCATTTTACTGCAGCTTTTGGGGCGATTTATGGGTTACACTGGAATAGGATAGAATAAAATTCCAGGACATGGACGATAAATTAATATTCATTTACCATTTATAATTACACGGATAAAAAAATTGTAATCAAAATTTTTTTGAAATTTTCAAAAAATTTCTAGAAAACTTTTCAGAATTTTTTTTTATGAAACAATAAAAAATCGGAACGGAACAATTTTATTTTTAAAGGTTTTGAAAAATTTTTCGAAAATTGAAAAAGTAAGAAAACAACAGTATAATTAAAAGAAAAAATTATATTCGCAAAAATATCTAGGAAATTATTAAAAAAATTTTCCGACACACATTTTTTAAAAATTTTTCAACAAATCTTGTGAAAATTTCCAGAAGGAATTTTCTGAGTTCTTTACAATTTTCAGTTACGAAATTCCTGATTTTTGGGATTAAAAATAAAAATTAAATCGTGAAATAAAAGATAATTCTCGGAGAGTCACCCCTTTTTGTTCGGCGACGATAAATAAGCTTGGAGAATTATGAAATGAAGAATTGAGACAACTCAGAAATGAAAAACGAATTAGTTTTCCGTTGGTTCCTCTATCGATTAAGCAATCTTAATACATCGCTGAGCCGCAACGTACCATAAAGCAGAACGGAACCGGAAACTATCTATTCTTACCGAGGAATATGTTCTCTGCCGAGGATTTTGCAGTTGTGGTAGTTGGAATTTTCGCTTTGATTAATCACACGATTTTTTTCACCGCGGTGAACCGACTCTCGTCGATGCCTCCAAAATCCCCGGGCGTTTCCGTCTCTCCATCACTACCTTCTCCATTTTTCTCCTCTTCCATCATCTCCCTCTTCCCCTCCAGCCTCACCCCCATTTTTAACTCTTCCCAGTTTTCACCGACATTTATGGAGAATTCGAAAACCCGCTGTGAGAAATAAAATTAATTTTATCCGAATAATAAATTAAATCACATAAATTTACGCAGCAGAAGCAAATTCATTCGACAGAACGATTTTTTTTCTCAGAGTAGAGCAATTGCAATTTCTTCATCAACGAATCAATTAAATACTTAAATAATCAATTATTTCCATGAATTTAATGATGAATCGATAATTGAGGCTTTTAATTAATTGAAAAATGCTAATTCCCCCCGCGAAATGCTATTTCTTCGAATTACCATGAAAAACAAGAAATTTAGTGAACGTTTAAAATAAAAATTTTGAGACAATCGGCAACTCGGGGGCATTAGGACTGAAATGAGAATAAAAGTAATTAAATATTGCCTCGTGGAATAAAAGAAATTGGTTGAAGAGGCGCTAAGACAGGCACGCACTGGAGTTCAGGTTTTGTTCTGATCGATATCAATTAGGCAGCTCCTTCCGGTCGCGTGACTGCACCACCCTGAAATCATCCCCCGTGATGTGCCACGAGGCCGCGATCCACCCCCAGCACTCTCCTTTCAAAAACCTTCAACTTCCGGCTTGTATTGCCAGCAATTGACGAACAATAGAGTGGAACCTTTTAACGCCTGCTATCTTCTTTCCTCATCAGGTGAGCAGCCGTAATTAGGACAACTGAGAATGGACAACCCAACTATTTCGCACGACCTTTCCATTCAAATTTATATCGGGTTATAGATTTTTGTAATCAGAAATTGATCAATTCTTTCTCACAATTTTCATAACATTCTGGGAAATAAAAATCATAGTATCGAGATACGAGAAAACAATTTAATGACTCGGATAAAAAAAAATGTAATCGAAATATTTTTTTCCAAATTTTCCAAAAATTTCTGGAAAACTTTTCAGAAATTTTTTTTTTTTTTAATAATCGGGAAACAAAATAATTGTATTTCTGGGAAATGTTTTGAGAAATTTCTCAAAAATTTGTTTCGGAAAATTTGTTTTTATAATTTGAAAAAATGTTCCGATTACAATTTTTTTTTACCCGGCAAATAAAATCCATAACAATATATTAGATTCGTCGGAATATTTGTGTTTACCACTGAAGAATTGGGGATGTTAATTCAATTCATTTTTTTTTCTGGGAATTGATGCTTTGAGGGTAAAAACGGACGTTAGTGTCCACTGAAGGGTTTTTCATCCAGCGGAAGGACTTCTACAAAACTTTCCAGCTCCAATCGTCCAGGCGTACACCTAGCATATCCCCATTCCTTTATCCAACATCGCCTGGGATTTCCACCCCATAGCGGAAACCAGCCAATAAAACACCCCCGGACGTAACTGCATTGTCCAACTTTTTTTTTTTTCAAGAATTTTTTACCCTCGCCTTCTTTCACTATCCTCCACTCTTCCCAACTCTTGTGTCCAACTATAGCTGATCCTGGATATAGTGAGGACAACGGTACACCCCCTCGATTACATTCGGAAATATTAGGGGACGTCCCGTTGCTCGACAAACTATCAATTTGTTTTCCTGTTGTATTGATTTGGGTAAAACTCCTGCTCGAGACACTGACTTTTTTAGTATCCTTTAGTTGTTGTCTCCAAGTCTAGTTTCCTCTCGAGGGTATAAGAATAGAATGACCAATGGAAATCGATACCCAACGGGCCCTCTCATCATCTTCATAACAATTTTTTTCAAATTTTTTACAAGCAACCCGCAAATTCAAAAAAACAACGCCAACAAAAAAGGGACTAGCCTTTCATTTTTTATAATTGACAGTTCATCAATTTTTTATATCAATTTACGATTGCCCTACACTCTCAAAAAACATTTGAAATTGAAATAAAATTACTTGGAAATGGTAAATATATTTTTTCAGAACAAAATATTTTCGGAGCAAAAATTTTTTCTGCAATTGCTATTCGAGGGAATGCATCAGGATAAATTTTCGTAGATATATTTCAATTTTTCCTCTAAGAAACTAGTCAGAGTCCGAATCAAGATAGCGCAGTCCATATAAATCATCCCCGAACTGAATGTTATCAGTCGGCTTCCGGTCCGTCGCACAGACATTTCGCACGACCATCGAATATTCCATATTATCCTTTTTTTTTCTTCCAATACTATTACGAAGCGAAACATATGCTGGCCGCTGTCCACTCCATTTACTCCGCTGCGTCATCTCCGCCCTTCCTCGAGAAATAACCAGCTAGGGTTATTCGGGGGTCAAAAACAGTCCAGTAAAAAAGCCCTCGCCTTTTATCATTATTAGAATTGCCCTGGCAGTGCTGATCAACTCGAAATTAAACAATGGAAAAAAGCCAGAGGACGCCAGACAACCGGGAAATCTAAACCGGTAACAAGATGGCGGCCTTCCGAAACGGAAACCGGAAACCTGTCACTCGAGCAGAGCCCGACTTCCGTCGTTGCCCTGAGGGAGGATTCACCGAATCCCCAGGGCTAAATATTTTTCATCTCCAAAAACAAAACGCGTCCCCAAAATAATTTCCAAATAATTTTAATATATAATAAATATATAAAAATATGTAAAATATATAAAAGTTCAGGAAATATTTTTCCAAGAGGATTTGTGAATCACGGAGTTATTTAATAACTTTATAAATTTTCTGATTAATCAGGACTCGAGAAATTATTGGAGAGGATCAGGATTATTGGACTGTACTCTCGACTTAGTAATTCCACCAAAAGAAAAAATCAGAATGCATAATTCCTTCATACATACGCATCCTGCGGTTATATATTATATTTCACTATTATCATACATAATGTACATATATACAACCTGCTACAATAAATACTTATCGTGATATAAGTTAACGAGAATTGCGAACATCACCATAAAACTCTGGATCGATAAGTCCCACTTTTCGATCATCCTAAACCTAATATTTCGACTGATCACCCATCGCAATTTCGCATGATATAATTTGAATTTCACTTGGATTTGTCCCATTGTGTGACCCCCAGAGGTTGTCAAAATTTTTTTTCGTGATTCCATACACGTGTTCCCCAGTAGACGAGAAAAAAAAAAAGTAGCTCAATCTCCGAATTATCAGCGAGATATAAAAATTGTGCCGTCCTTGTCCTACCAAGGCGATAACGCAATTACACAAGTCGTCATGAAATTGCGGTGTGCCGGGACAGATAATCTGAATGATATTACAAATACAATACTTATGTCACAGATGACTCTCCAACGTTCACTTGCACAAATTGTGATAGTATCTCTGATAAAAACAGATGATGAGAACTGATTTTCACCACCAGTAAGGTTTCTGCATGTATGGCGCACCCATGGATACCTGTCCAGCACCACTGGGATAACCAGAGTCAATTAATTTTGATGGGCATGGTTTTCCATCCCTCACCAGAACCGGAACAGCAACTCTTCTCGGTGAGCATCCACTGCCACCAGCCTCCACCCTCTCATTCTGTGCGCGTTTCGTCTTGTACCTGTGATTCTGAAACCAAATCTTCACCTGTGTCGGTGTCAAACAGATGATAGAAGCCAAATGCTCCCTCTCCGGTGCACTAAGATACCTCTGCTGTCTGAATCGTCTCTCCAACTCATAAGTCTGGGCTTTTGAAAATAACACCCGACGTTTCCTCTGCTTCTTGCTACAGTGAGACGAATCGTTGGGGTCATGCGATCGCTTGTCGTTCTCATCATTCCTGTCATCCAACTGATGCTCCTCCATCTCCTCGAAGTCCTGCTCCTCGTCTTTCGATGATTCATTGCCATTGTCTTGGTGAGAGGGGAATGACAAGTCGGAAATTGTTGGACTCGTCGAGTCCGGCTGCTGTTGCTGGCTCTGTTGTTGTTGGTGAACTGTAACAATCAGAAATTTCTTCCTTATTGCACTTATTCAGGGATTGAGGATTCCACGGACACAAAGATCCAGTGAAACACGTGGGGAGCTCTCTCTGATCGACACTGCACATAAAATCCCCATAAAGCTGTATCATTTTATCAGCTCCAAAGAAAATCATGAAGAAAAAACCGAAACGCTCGCATAACAGAGTTGATCACATAACTCCACAATATTCCATTGTATCGCAGGAGATATACGAAAAGGGGGATGATGGGGGGGGGGGAGGATGGACATAAGAACTGAAGGGTGTGAAATATGGCCTGAGCCCCGTTGTCCGCCCGTATGCATCTTGGTGGCACCCCACGAGATCAACCATATCATTTTCACGGGAGATTAGACACCCCATCCTGTGATTTCAATTAGCCAGCGATACGATTCGCGCTACAAAAATACACCGATTGTTTTCCTAACGGATTAGCCCCCGATTTAAATTCAAATGTGAATGTAACTGAATGACATCATCAGGTTCTCCACCATAAAAGGATCAATTTGATTCTACTTTTCCATTGAATCTCTATACCTGACGATTTCGAATGATCGAATATCCTTGAATACCAATGGGAAGGAGAGAAATGGTGGTTATATAATAGATCCCTGATGTCCAGCCCCTATTACATACCAACTACTAGATGCGAAGGTACAACTACACAACACCCCGCTATACCAACCACAATGTGAATTTTGGGCGTGACAATTTCAATTCATAATGGTAGAGGGGAAGAATGAAAAGCATTTCGGTATATACATCTTGTGGATGGTTTGCATCTGTCCCAGGGGTGACATCTGTCTCGTCGATGAGCCAATCGTCCATCGAGGATGGTGGAGGGCTTTTATAGGACCATTAGATCCTGCTTAGGCGAGGAGCGAACCAATTGTAGGGTGTTAAATAAATAAGGGTTTCTCAGATCTGTGTGGGGCTTGGGTTTATAACCGTGTTTCGTTTATGGGTCTCAATATCGAGAGTTTATTCTGAACGGACAAGCTATAAGTCGGATATTTTGAGAGGGATTCCGAGGGGTTGTGATTGCTTTGGAGGATTCCTCGGGGGTTGACTTACCGGTCATTTCGGCGAGAGTCTGTGGCATTGATACAGGCAGAATCGGACCCGTCGGCCAGCCTAGGAGACCTGGTGGTGGTAGTCCTGGGGGTGGCGGTGGTGGAGGCGGCGGCAGACTTCCTCGGAGGTTACTGTGCAGACCAGGGAGAATTGCTGAGGTGTGCTCCAGGAATTGCTGGTATGCCGACGGCAGTTCACTTGGGGATGGTAGAGTTGTCGGGGTTCCTGGGGATTTACAAACAATGGGGAGACGTTTTAGTTTCGCGTTTTTCGCGTAATTAAATAATTTTTCAGTGCCGAAGGAAAAAATTGGAAAAAATGAGAAAATTCTTCCGATAGCCTAGAGACTATTTCATTCTAAATTCACTCTCGAATCTTTGAGAGGTTCGAGGAGAGAAAATTTAACGAACGAATTTTTAGAGAAAGAGGAATTAATTGGATGCCTGGGTAAAAAAAAATTGTAATCGCAATATTTTTTCCAAATTTTTTTTTCATAAGTTAGCTAGGGTATTTTCTAAGAATATTGAAAAATTAAAAAAGTAAGAAAACAACAGTATAATGAAAAGAAAAAATTATATTCGCAAAAATTTCTAGAAAATTATTTTAAAAAATTTTGATTACAATTATTTACCCGGGTGAGTTCAATATCAATATTTTCCAAAAAAAAAAAGCGTATCAATATCGAGAAAATGGGTTATTAAAATAATTTTGATCATATTAATTAGTTTTATTGATGTATTCAATTAAAATGGGATGATGCTCACCATTGCTGTCCTCCGGTGCTGGTGGTTTGGCCTCATTCAGCTGGAGAATGTCATTAATATTGAATCCCGAGCTAGTTCTGGTTGCCACTGGCATTTTCATGGTCTCCAGCAGTCTGCAAAGTAAACAAGAATGAATGGAGATTAATTAAGACTGCTTAAACGGTTGAATGGAATGGGTCTGAGTTTGTGAGGGGAAATAGTCGGGAAGCCATCGACTCGCGCAAGTGGCTTTTGGAAAACCGATTAAAACCGGTCGAGTTTTCATTTTCCTCCGGACGACGGGTTGTTGGGACCACCCGCAGGACATTTCTATTGTCCAGGTAAGAATGAACCTGCCGAGATTGAAGGAAAGCATCCGGAACCAGCAAATCCAGGATGTAGTGATGCTCCGTGGAATTGTAAGCCCGGCGATCTATTATCGGGACACGTAGGGCAATGTATCAAAACATTTGGAGATTTTCGGTGTAAAATGGGATTCCTGGGAGTCTTGGGTGCTAACTCGTGGGTCAATAGCTCTAGGTCAATAATTTTTAAGTTAATTACGCGGTTTCCTTCCGACGAACGTGGGAATTTATCTCGTAAGATTATTTGTAGGCATCGAAATCACCGCAGGCATCGGGGATCAACGGATTTTTTTATTCTATTGGTTCTTCGGTTTTGGAATAATTTTTATTTTGCCCCCAGTTGAGGAGTCACTTTTGGGAGGAACCGCGGTTTTCATTTTGGTTGGAAAATCATGGAATTTCGAGTTTCACGGAATTTTAGGGAATTAATTTGATTAACTTCACAATTTTTATTTGATTTTTGAACATGTTTTTTATTCTGGATGCTCTGATAAATTATAATTTGCTTGGATTTTTAATTAACTCAATTGTAAATTCCAGTATGTGGTTTATAAACAAAACAATGGATTTTTCATGGACAAATGAACTGAAATTAACGGGGTCCAAGGATTTTATTTATTAAAAGAACAGAAAAGGATGTTGAATTAAAAATAACTAGAAGATAAAATTTTCCAAGGTATCTACAGTAAATTTTCGCCGGTAATTTTTAACACCGAATGAAACCACTCTCAGGTCGGAAATTATTAAATTAAATGTAAGAATTGTTTTCAAATAAGGCCGAAGAGTTTTTCGACGGGAGCCATCTCAATCCATTACCTTGCATTCAGTAATTGACTGCACCAAACATGATACTGGAGATTAGGTGGATAAGTCAAGAGGGACCAAGGAAGAATTTTGCTCTTATCCTCCATTGTCCACTGATTAATCCCTTCAACACTGTCAATACATAATCCACCAATAAAAAATTCCCACTAGCAATTGAATCCACTAAAATCACGTCCCAAAAATTCACTAGGACCCATTCACAGCACAAATTCCACTTATTCTGAGTTTCAAATGTGAATTAATAAAAAAAAAATCGAATGTTTATTCGAAGCCAGTTGGAGCGATTCAAAAGATTCACCAGGAAGTCGAAGAAAAATCCTTCGAGGATTACGTGATTGTCGAATTCAATGTGTTTTTTTTTTTTTTCACTCACGATAAGTTGAGGACTCGTCTTGTAGTTTTTCGAGTGTCCTCGACGAGCACTTGACGGCTAGTGTGTCCCTTCCATCGTTCCGATCTGGTCTTCGAGAACCCCTCGAGTGCTGGGGGGGCGGGTTCCACTCCAGGGGCGGGTTTTTCCCACCCTCTGCTCCTCGCCGAGGGAAATCGGTCACTTACGAAATTTCTTCCAGTTTGGAGCCCTCACTCGGGGGTGAATTGCATCGGTTATTTTACCGAGGGGTGGAGTCCCGAAGGGGCGGCTCTACAGGGGCTGCGATTGCCTGGAGGGGATTTACACCAATCAGCGCTCACCATCGATCAAGGGCTTTTTACCCGGTTCTCCACGACACACTTTATGTCGAGTGTTAATGCGAAAGAGCATTAACACCGCACTTTCGTACCTCTTTTTTATGGATGTACTGTACCGAGATTTTTTTTCCCTCAGGAATTAGGAGGTTAATTGGAAAATTCTTTGGTTATGAAAAAAGTTTTCCCATTATTTTTTTCGGTTCGTGGAACGAGTTTGAGAATGGGTTTATGGAAAAATATATTTTCGGGAAAATTGACAATTATTCATTCTTCAATTAAGAAATCGTAAATGTAAATGAATAATAATAATAACAATAATTTCCATTTTCTTTTTGCATTCGCGAAGCGAAATTCAAGGATTATGAAAATATTTGTTTTGAATATATTTTCAAGTGCCAACCAATTGCTCATTTTTTTTTATTTAAATATTTAAATATTTTTTTTAGAATCCATCGTCAGAGAATCGAATAAATAATTCATGAATATTAATTTCAATCTCCTCGTCTTTTTCACACCTTCATTTTTTTTTTTCATTTTCGATTGCCTTTTCGTTTTATTCACCGCGAAGTGAACAAGAATTTTTATTATCCCCATTGAGAAGTTACGATAGTTCTTCAATCGTTTAGCCCCAATTTCATAGCATCAAGAAGGTGAAAAAGTTTCGTACCGGCATTTCCGGTTATCCCGTGGGGCCATTGTTATCCTCACTCTTCCTCCCCTCCATTCTCCTGTATAAAAGTCAAAAAGTACGGAAAGGGGCGTATTAGGGTCCCATTGTACTCGACTGGTAGTCATATAGTCCAGGATTTCTCATTCCCCCGACTAAATCTTGACCTCCACCTTTAAATTGTTCTCCTCCAGCGTTTTCCGATTTTTACTATTTTTTCAGCGCCTCAAAAATCGAGTTTGAGTCAACCCTCACTAAAAAAAAAAAAGCAGATGGAGATGGAGGGGCCCCGGAACTTTTTACTTTATTTTCGTAACACGCCATGACAATTATCATATTTCTTCCCATTAAATCACAAAAATCACGAATGCAACATAATTATAGAAAAAATATTATTATAGAATTTTCCATAATAATTTTTGCAAGAAACCGACGAAAAATTAATTTTTCTCACGTCACTCGAAGTTTTGAGATTTGAGATTCGAATTGATTTCTACTTGAGGAATTCTTATTTTCCTTATTTTATAAATATTCATAATTGTCAATCAATAGAAGAATTAATCACAGATTATTTTTTGCCCAGTTTATTGATCCAATATTAATTTTCAGCGACTACATGCGCTTTACGTTTGAAAAAAAAATGTTAACGGCGTTTTCATGGTAATTTTTATGACATAATTTTGGTGGTGATTGAGAATTAAAAGATTGGAATAGCGTGGGCTTCAGGAGACACTCTAAATCGTGCCTCCAACCAGTGGTAACAGTACTAGAAGCCAAATGGAATAAGATAGTGACAAGGAGGAGTCACCATCACGCAAACTTAGGATCGAGTATCAGAAATCGTGTACTCTTACCCTTTCGTTGGAAGAGACGCGACATATAATCGGGTTAGAATCAGGTTCAACTCATAAAAGAGGCGAAATTCAACTTTCTTGGGTAGTTTTTTGGTCGTGTTGAAGTTGCTCGAGGCTTGGCCCTCCATCCCTGGTGTCTTGACGCCGCGGAGCGCCGCCCTGGCCTAGAGGGTGAAAGCACTGAGGGTGGTACCAACGTTAAACCAAGAAAGAGAGAGGAATAAACTAGAAAGGGATTCGCAGCAATCGAGCCAACATTTGTCCAGCTCCCACGACTGTTTGGCGATAGCTGTGCCAACTCGTTTCCAGCACGCAACCCAATTTGTCTGTGTCTCATTGTTTTAAGACTCGCGATAGGGACATCCAAGTTTTTCACAGTGTTGCAAACCCAATCCCCATTTTAACGCCATTTTTTATTCTGGTCTTACAAGTTTTCGATCCCTCGTCCATCACATCGAAACACTTCGAGACGTCGAAAGTGAAAAAATGAGAAAATGATAAACTGAAAAAAAAAAGACATTTTTACCCTCAACCTGGGGAACTGATCCATCAATTTTTCCCTGAAAACTGAATTTTTGTCAAAATAAAATTTTCTATCAACCAACTGTCAATTTTGGATGTTGTGCATCTCAGAAAAATCAGAGACTGATTTTAAATAGTGATGAGAGAGATTTTGAAGAGTGAATGAAGAGTGGACTCCATGTGATTTTCGTTTCGAGTAAATTCCACCCATAAATATCCGAATAATAAAATGCGATTTGAGAGGGCTAATTGACAGGTGGGTGGCGATGGTCGTTGCCCCCCCAATAAATGATGAAGTGCCCTCAGAAGTACTTGCACTCGAAATACTGTTCACAGTGGAGAAATAGTAAATTGAGGGAGAGAGGTGAATGAGGGGTGTCCTCAGGTGTGCAGAGTCCATCGAATCCATCCAATCTGGAAAACGTGCCTAGAAAGAATGGACGTTCACCCATTTACGAGTTATTTCAACGACTATTTCCACCCCCATTAACATGACAATACGAGTACCTGTCGGCCTTTGGTTCTCCAAGGGTCACAGGTCCCAGGGGTAATTCGGGGCGACATTTGTGGAGGAGGGGAGGGCGGATTGAGGATGAGGACGACCACCACCTGAGATACTGGTACCTATGTTCTTCAAGTTTAAACCAGCAGGTCCAACTTTATTCCATTTATTGCCGAAACGTGCCCGCGCACACATTTCCCAAAATTTTCCAGGTTTCCACCAAAAACCACTTGAGTGCATTCCCATTCATACCTGTCCGACTGGTACCTGCAGCATTCTACCAGCACTCGACGCTCCATTCATTATTTTTTCCCCTCCAGACAGCCGGATTTATGAATTTACAATTTATGAATGCATCATTGACTACATACGGAATAAAATATCAGTTAATCGTGTTTCATTCCTGGAATCAAAAAGTTTTCCTCACACTCTTACGATTTTTCTCTACAGGGAAAAATAGTGAATATAAATACCGGAAGTCATGGTTATTTTTAATATTTAGGGTATTCGTGGCTTCCTATTCTCGCAAAAATAAATTACGAACAGATCTAATTGGAGATTTATAAACAATAATAATAAAATGTTTGTGAAAATTTATTTTGATTATCAATATTCGCTCTCATTTTCGATAAACACTTTTCCAATGAATTTCCACGTGTTTCTAATCGTCGATTCTTCAACTTTTTCAACGTGTTGTATCACTGGAGATACGATATCACGTTCGAACGTCCGCGAAAACGAAAAAAATTATTTGAAGAAGAAAAATGAAAAAAGCGAAGGCAAACGTTGGAGAGGACGTCACATAACAGATTGTGAGAAAAATCGTAGTTTGAGTATTGGAAGTCCTCCGGTTCATTCATGAAGTTGGACAATGGGCCCGAGGGTGGGCCAGTGAATGAACGTAGTAAGTTCCGTAGTACTACGTAGTAGAATCCACCACGGGGACTCTTGAGGGCCTCTTTGGGCAGCGGTAGTTTTTTTTTTTTCCTTGAATGAAAGAATCTCTCTGTCTAACCTTGCACTTCACGTTCTATGGGGTCAAAACGTGACCCAAACTTTGTACGGCTAGTTTGCCGTTGTCGACGTCAACGGCTTTGGCTCCTTCGACGTTTAAGAAGCGTTTAAGAAGTTATTTCAAAATAGCCACAGGTTTTTTTCTCGGAGAATGCCGGCTGCGAGTGGAGGGTGGACAATGGAGCAGCTTCTATGGTCCTCGGGAATTTTTTATTTTTATTTTCGTTGTGCAAATGGAAAAATTCAAGTTCAATGTTTTGTCATTGCGTTCACAGAAATATATTCAATATTATTCAATTGATTTTTTTAAACAATTTTTTAATTCCAGATTTCCCATTACCCTCATGGAAAAATTCATGAAGAATATATATAATAAAAATTCCTACAAAAAAAACATAATTATAAATAAATAATGATATAATTCAAAAATACACGAGCGAGTCGTGAGTGATTTTTAATAAATTTTTCAGAGCACAGAGAAAAGTAATTATTTCAACTAGTAATTTTAAACTTTTTCTCTCCCCACATTAACTTAGCAAAAATAGTTACTGATGATAATCTGGGGAATAGGGAATCCTAGGGAGGCCTGTGGAAATGGCCTCTTAAAAAATCCACTTTGATTATTTAATTTTATTGCAATATGATCGGCAGAGGTTAGACACTCGATGAGCAAATGGGAGGCGATCAAGCGGAATTTAAACGTGGAAACCGAACAGGTGGTGAGAGGAACTCCCTGGATATTTCGAGTAGTGTAACAAGGCGTACCACTCTCTGGTGAATTACAAATCCACCCCACACGCATGTAACATCCGGCAAATTTTTCACAGTCCCCCGTTTTCGAGTAATTACTGAGGAGAGCTCACCTGTAGTCATCCTCGTTGGAAACGTAATCAGGTGGGATCAGGTGCCAGGAGGAGTCATAGTAGTCATCGTAACCCATCGCCATCCTCTGGAGTTTAGCCTGATTTTCACCGATATATTGAAAATTATTGCCACCAATCATCGGAGTAATTTTTCTCCCCCGTTTTTAATCCTTCTAGTAACTCCAAAAGTGAAAATTTAATCGATGTACAGTGACATTGAAACTCAACACGCACCCGGAGTATCACTGACTGTCCTGATTATACATTTACCAGTTATATATTCTATCGAAAATATGGACACCAGATAGGCGCTGAGGTAACGTTATCAGATAATGATAACATCCCCATAGAGATTAGTTTCGACTACCGATCTGTCGATTTCTAATTCAAAATTTCGCCTATGTGGAATTTGGACGTCATTATCTGCAGAAATATTCGTCAGTCATAAAAATAAATTTCACTCTTCCATCAGTTGGTCTTAATTACTCTTCAATTCAGTTACTGAGTAAAAAATAATGAGTTAGCCCTGAAAAAAATGTCGCTATCACTCCGCGATTCGGAGATATCACTCAAAAATTTATTCAGAAAATAAAATACTGTTTACTGTAACCCTTTACTCCTTTCTGAAATCATTGGAATTTTTTTCGTGCGATTATGAATTATAAAATAAATTCTGCCCTTGAGGTCTTGATTCTCCCCGTACAGACAGCAAATGAATCAATCAATTTCAAATTGATAATGACTAATGACGAAAACCGATTTCGATTGGTTAACTATCCGATTCGTCAATTACACTCAAAAACCCTCGACATGAAGTGTTCGGGGCTTAAACTAAAGTACTTTTCCAGTAGATAATTCTCGTGTTCCCATACCCTCGGCCACGATTTCCAAAAAATCAGAGGAAATCGTGGAAAACCCGTGAAAAACCGCGAGATCTCGAGTCCCCCGTAAAAAAATGCCCCGATCCTCTGAATTTCTAAATAAAAAGATTGGAGATCGGCCACTCAGTCCGACGACTAAGATCTCGCCGATATAAAAATCAATCATCACTCCATCGTGATGGCCCAGTTCTTGAAATTCAACGAGAGAAATAAAAAGTCCTCGCTCATATCATTCCTCCCAACGCATATTCAGCCTTTATGTCAAATCGATAACGGTTGACTACAATCTCTCAGTCCTTCATATTCAAAACCTCTACATTCACGTGAGAATCCCAAAGACTATAAATGCACAGTAGACCCGCACCAGTGACATCGACATGTGGCCCTAATCAGTTGGAACCTATCAGCGAGATTATCAGTCCTCCACGATAATCAATTTTTTTCGGTACATTTCTATTCACCCAATCGCCTTGACATCGGTAACGATAAAAATAAAATAAAAACTCCGGTTTTTTAAATGTCAGCGGTAAATATTTGCCGACAAATTAAAAAATATTGAACCAAAAAAAAAAAAAAATGAATTCGTTTTTACTTTTTAAAATTCAAGTCTTCAATTTTCTTTTAACTGACTGTCTAAGTGCCTCGCTCTGGTGCAATTCAATTTTATTAATTGATGATTAATTATTATTAATGACGGAGTGATTAATTAATTGTTCATTTGTAGACATTTTTTGAGTCAGTGCGAAGGAAATTGAATTTTAAATACGAGCATTGGAGAGATTGTCATTTTTTGAGGAGGTGACCTGTGTTATCGACGAAAGGAGACTCATCGCTTCTGGTAAGTCACTTGCAGCTGATGAGTCTTCTTGTATCAACGGATGAAAAGTGAATCTTATCCTTCCGCCACGTATGAAGATAGAGTGACCCACTTGCTTCCAAAATGCCCACCTCAATCAGATGCAGTTGACGTCCAGACATCAACATAATAAAGTGCCTGTGACAAATAAACATAAACCACTGACAATTGAATAATTCTGGATAAATGGCATCAACCGAGGGAGATGTGGTGGCTGTCACCGAGGATATTGATAAATTATCAGTGTCCACCCAGGAATTGTCAATAAAACCCACCTCCATCGTAGAAACCGTGGGTTTTCAGCCACATCTCTCTGGATTCGAGACTCGAGAGCTCTACAAAATAGCCCTGAATTTCTATAAAGGTGAGTCGATGGTTGCAGAATATAACCATTTGTCGAGCTACCCCACACATATCGATAATATTTCACCTTGTTTTTATTCTGACATTGGGGGCTGCTCAGGTAATAAATAATTCAGAGAATCAGTATGCACAACTCATCAATATCTCCAAGCACAGAAAAACCCAAATGACACTACAACGAGATTTTGTTCTTTGATAAAAACGACTCTGTATTAAAAAATGTACAATGAATTTGTAGAAATATCCTCCCCATCTCAAACTAGCATATCATCTATAAATATAATCTTTACATTTTCTAAAATTGTCCATAATTACAATTCCCAAGTTAAATAACAAAATCTAAACGTGATTGCTAACATTCGGTAGTGAAGTAGTCAGTTACTTCAGTTCCCCCGTAAGTTTTTCGTGAATATCTCCGAGGCTATGAGGAGTAGCTCAATTTTTATTAAAACTTTTTTTGTAGAGCTGATTGAGATCTGGGAAAAAAGTTATTATAAAAATTTCAATATCTCCCTTAATTCCAGAGATATTTCCATAAAAGCTTTGTTCTGCCACTTCATTGCAGAACTTTTGAAATGATGTAGCAAAAAAAACTGAAGCCCGAGCTGGAATGAATAAAACTATTGAATAATGAATTTGCAGAGAAAGAGGGTAAGGCAGTGCATTTGTCGTACGAGGACAAGCTTAAACTGGTGGCGTTTACCCAGCAGGCGACTCATGGCAAATGCACAGCAGAAAATTCCCCGGAGTTGGGTGTGTTGGACGTAATCGGTAAGGACAGACGATTGGCATGGCAGAACTTGGGGGATATAACGAGGGAGGAGGCGATGGAGGGGTTCATTATTTTGCTGGACAAACTGTGTCCCCTGTTTCGAACGGTAGTCGAGGCTCAGAAGCGAAACATCGAGGAGCAGGAGCGTAGGAAAAACGAGGAGAAATTGAAAAGGATCGAGGAGGAGAAGAGGGAGAGAGAGATCCAGGAGGAGAGAAAACGGGAGGAGGAGGAGCAGCAGAAGAGGGAGCACCAGAGGAGACAGATACAGGAGGCACTCAATCAGCAGACTTATCATCAGTTCAAAGCTTATGCTGAACAGCAGTACCCGGGTAATCCAGAGCAACAGGGAGTGCTCATAAGACAACTGCAGGAGCAGCATTATCACAGGTATATGCAGCAGCTTCATCAGAATCGTCTGATGATTGAAGAGAGTGCTGAGAGTGAGAAGAAGGAGATCGATGAGACTGATGAGGAGGAGAAGAAGTCTGAGGGGAGGGATGAGGTGGGAAATGAGGTGGTGAAGGAGGGAAAGGAGGGAAAGGGGGAGAAGGAGAGCAATGCCAATAATGGGAATAATGAGGAGGAGGAGGAAGACTCGGATGGGGAGCCTGATTGGCCACCCATTGAGACACCCAAAATGTGGACTAGGCCGGGTGTTGATGAGTTCAAGGATACCATTAAGAGGGAAGCTGGAGATGCTGTCATCAGGGTGGGACATGGGGAGACTGTCACTGTGAGGGTGCCTACCCATGAAGATGGGGCATTCCTCTTCTGGGAATTTGCCACTGATGGATATGATATTGGCTTTGGTGTCTACTTCGAGTGGTCCAAACCTGAAACCAATCAGGTATCTGTGCATATTAGTGAGTCTGAGGATGATGATGATGAGGATGACTATGCTGGTGAGGATCTTGAGACTGGTGTCAATGGGGAAAGCAATCCGGAGGAGAAGCCTAGTTCACCGCAGATCAGTGTTATTGTACCTGTGAGTTGATCTGTTTTTTCATTGACTCCAGCACACAAATTGAAAAATATTCTAGGCTATGATTAAATTCAAACCAAAGATTAGCTTTAATAAAGACGGTGAATTGATTTCAATTAATGAATTGGAATTGTGTTTTCTTACATTCCAGGTGTTCCGACGAGACTCCCAAGAAGAAGTTTACGCAGGTAGCCATCAATATCCAGGTGAAGGTGTTTACCTACTGAAATTCGATAATTCATACTCTCTATGGCGGAGTAAAACTCTTTACTACCGAGTTTACTACACACGACCTGGTTTCACGGATAATCCGTCTTAACCCATTGACTGAAGTGTCTGTCGACATAAACCCCTGGCCAGAGACCATGTTCACAGGTTTTTCCCTAGTCCGGCTTTCAAGGAGTCCCAAAAGAGCGAAAAAAAAACAAAAAAAATATATATGAGACACAATAACGTGAGAAATAGTTTATTTATTACAAAACAACACTTAGATAGGATTTTCATTGGATTTTATTTGAAGGAAGAAACTGCGATTTAGCACAACTTATTTTCAATGTTTTTCACTGAATTCGGTGTACGATCTCATCGATAATGTATGTTTAGTATCTGTCTGTTAGAGTACGGAGCAAAAATATTAATAAAAAATAATAATGTTGACTGTAAACACCAAGTGGCACCTGACCTCCACGTCAGTGGTAAAGTGATAAAATATTTAAATCGTGACAATGGAAAAATGTCTGCAGATATGTGTCTATTTCGTTGTTGCGTTGACACACCTAGTTTTTCCACTTTCCTACTGAATCTTCTCCGTACATCCTGTGGTGTTATTTTAGGTTTTTCTATAAAATTATTTCATATGTTTTCAGTGTCAAAGATCGAGCTCGATCCTAAAAGCCAATTAAATTTCGAAATGAATAAAATCTGTGTGCCTGAATAAAATTGCTTCGTGATTTCAGGAAACCAATGCATTGAATTAATCCACATATCATTTGTAACCATCAACCATTTGTCTTTATTTCGTACGGCAATATAATGCAGTTTATGTATAATAATCACAATTACGTTAAATTACTATAAATGAGTACAATTACTTTGGCCCTCGCCGCGAATACCTTCATCTATTTCCTTTTCCTCAGTTTTAATCCTCATTATTTAAACATTTTTACGTACAAGATGCACATTGCTCCCAGTTAACAAAGAGCGACCAGTGAATTACTCTCGAAGCACTTACAAATTATCCCCTAAAAACGCTGTAAATACCTCGAACTAATTATCCACCTCAAACTCCAATCGAAATCATTTTCTCCATTCATTTTGTTGCATTTTTTTTAATTACAAGAGCACTTTTTCAAGACGGCATGAGTTTATGCGATTACTAAATATCATTTTCGTAGGTTTCTTAATTAATTTTGTTTGTGCAATGATCTTACGTGGTTATAAAAATTCTATCCGTTGAATCATCGAATTTTTTTCTTCATTAATCGTAATTTGTGGATTGTCTGACGTAGACCGTGTCAATGAGGGCTATTGATGCAATTGGCTGGAAGGATTATATACTAGATTTTGAAAAAATCCTAAGAATGTTTATCCATCTTTGAAAAAGTTGCAATTTGTTGAAGTGATTGCCACAATTCTACCGAAATAAAATAATGCGCTTATATACACGTTCTTACAGAATTCATTTACAAAACCATAATTCGTTCACTAAAAATACTTACGAAATTCTCCAGTTTCTCTACTTTATTCCTACAATATGATAATTAATCTGTGTCAGTGGGTGGAATCCTCGGGACTTTGGATAAACATCCTTAATTAATTCACGCTGGTGTGAAGAAAAATTTATCGTACAATTTACCCTGGGGTGCATTGACTCCAGAAAATTTCACGCTGACACCTCATAAAAAATGCGATAACTCTCCTGTAAATTATATCACTCCGATGAAATATCCCAATAGTATTATAATGTACTTTATTTTCTACTGCAGGATGTCAGGATAAATTTTCCTATAAGTTTTTCTCAGAATGGGAGAGCGATGCAGAGCGGGAGATAAACCTCTCACAGATCCTGAATTGATGAACCAGAATTAACGAAAAGGTTCTGACATTAAAAAAATATCCACCGCTTCTGGAATCCTCCAAAAATAATTCACCGAGATCGTTCGAGTCCATCTCCTACTCCTCACTCTCTCCTCGATAATTAAAACTTCAATAATTCCAAATAGCACAACAGAAATACTCGACCACTAAATGCCCAGTGCAATTCAGTCCCTCGACATTTAACGACACATCTCCCTTCACTCTAATATTTATAACTATTCTGGCAGTTTGGAAAGACTTCATTGTTCAAGCGCAAAACCAAATAAATATTTATTATGGTTTCTTCCACCGACTAATTCCCGATTAAATCCACGAACTCCCTTAAATTGCACGTTTACCAGTCGATTTATACTAAAAATTCAGCGTATATATCACATATTTGAAGAGCCCTAGTAAAAATTACAACAATATCGTTAAATGGCTTCGTATGCATCTGACCCAGCATAAGCATCAAATTGACGGTAGGAATTACGGAATTATTCATTTAGTCGTCATTGCGCGTGTTTAATCCTGTTGAGTGCTTATGGTACATGTACTTATGATTCGTAACTAGTTCGATTGACTCATCGATCGAAAATACACGTATAAGCGTTTAAAATTACATGTACAACAAATATATAATTATGTATCTCTCTCGTCTCCATTCAAATTTTGTTTATATACATGTATATTCGTAATAAATGTCGTTAACTTTCATTATCGCTTACGTTTATCATTTAATACTTGAGCTAGTGCATGATACGCGGCTCTCAATCATTAAATGAAATTATTACTCGAAATTTAAAGATTTAAAGAATTCAACGAAATTATTTCACTTTTTTCATCCAAAGTTCATAGTCTTGGAAAAATCATGAGTTATCAGGATTATCCTTGATTTTTCGGGGAAAATCAGAATTTGTTTTGCGTCTAGTTTTTAATTCCAAGACTGGATATTTAAATTCTCATCGATTTTCATTTACAAAAGTAATTGATAATTGATCGAATTCTGTCTGATTATCTCTCCAATTTAATGATCCTCCAGCACCGCGTATCGTGCGTAATTTGATTTAAAAGGCATTTATTTTGCGACTCTCGTGAGTTTTGTTAATCTTAAGGAAGAACTATCAAATGAGGAAGGATTCTAACGCTATGGAGAAGTTATATCAGCAGTGAAGTGGCAAAAAATTGGATTTTCACTCGTTGTCGTTGAAACTGTTCGGAGGAAAACAGTTACACTGTTATAAATTTTATGGATTTCCAGTAACACCAGTGGTTGAATAATTTAATTAAATTACCACGTTCTCACCACTTCACAGCCTATCACCTATGGAGAAAATCAAACGAAGAACGTTTGGGATATCTCTAAAAATTTTTGGTGAAAGGCAGAAGTTCCGTCGACACTATGAGAATTCGTAATTTCAATAAATTCTCAACAGCTGAAAGCCTTTTTAGAGTTTCAAGAAATTTAATTGGAGACCTCTCGGTTTTCAAGTGAAATTTTTCCATACGTGATTTCGTTGCTTCAATTATCCTCCCACGAAGACTGATTGCGCGTTTTGTTACAAGGACGTTTCCATATTAAGATTCATTCGTCTCGGGGGTCCAAATTCAGTTCTCTCATCCGTAAAGCTGCGCCTTAAAGTTCGATCGTGTCGAATCGGCTTTGATCTCCTCTCGGTGAGAGAGCGGGTCAAGCCGTGGGGTGGAGCAGTGGTTACAAAGCACCTTGTGGTACTTCCAGTCTGCTGGTTCTTATCACCATCCCCTGATGGTGTGAAGAACTGGAGGTACTCGGGTTCTATGCTCATGGTGCGTTGATGCATGAGTCTCTTGCTCCTTCGGCGATGGGGTGGCCCTTGAGGGGTTGTTTCTTCCTCTGCAAGAACAGTCAATGATCGTCCCAGCTTTTTCAAACCAGCGGCTGGTGCAGTCGTTGGCTCTCGGTGCCGGTGGGTACCCGCGAATGGATCATTCGGTCTGCAGACTTCATGAATTGGACTAGCAAATATCAAAGTTCTGAAAAAAAAATTGACGAAAAACGTCGAGATCTTAACGGATAATTTTTCACAGCAATTCGATTACGAAATTGATAAACTTTCAGATAAAAATATAATATGACGGATTATGAGATCGTGTCAATTGAATAACTACAGAATTTGTATTTTTTCAATGAGAAAGAGTTTCTATTAAAATTTGAATATGAATTTTAAATCCCCTGACAAAAATTGGACATTACCTTGAAATGAATTCCCAATAGAAGCGGAGGGTATTCCCGAAAAATAATCACCTGAACTTTTCCCATTCTTAATAATTCCCCTTGTAAAGCGACAAGAAAAATTATCATTTCATTGAATATTCAGGGCATTACCTTATTCATCAGTCCATAAAATGCGCCGACATTTCGCATAAATTTCCCGTTAACTTTCACCGTCCCCGCTTGAATTTTCGAGAGTGATAATTCCAAATTAATGAATCAATTCAATCAACAACAATAAAGAACAATCAATACCCGTTATTTCGCAACACCGACAAGAGCGATAAAACCACGATAATTTGGCTACACCACAACCCAAATATTTCCACATCTCAATTAAAATCCCTCACCTGTTCGGATTTTCTCTCCGGACCTCTGCACTACCACCCCCTCTCAAACAATTATCCCTCATGAGTAGAAATCCTCCCTCCGGCTTCTCCTCACCGCCCACAAGATTCCTGAACTCCTCAGTGGTAACAAGAGTGTACCTCCTCTTGTTCTGTTTGAGAATCGATTTGAGGCAGAAGTACGTCTTGGACTCCGGTATGTTATTCCCCATTCCCGAAGTATCCAGATCACTCCTCACTCCACTGACCCCAGCCTGTGCCCCCACATCTGTTTCCACCCTCCTCTTGGGTATAGCCCCCTTTCCGCCCTGTCCCTCCACCGAGCCCGCCGCCAATCCCTCCTCACTCTCCAAAATATTCTCCAAACTTCGCCCATTCACCCTCAAAAATTGCAAACTAGTGCCCCTCATTAAATCACAGGAATTCGTCCTCAAATTTGGCTCAGAAATATCTCTAGTCATCATGGAATTATCTAGATTATTAATACGATAATTAGAGGCACTGCATACACCACAGCTGCGTAATTCGGTGGTGGATTGACCCCTGAGACTAGTGCAATCAGTGCTCTGATCGTCTTGGAGTCTTGTCTGGTGGCAGGGGCAGTCGCAGGTGGAGGGCTGGGTCTCCAGGACTGCGAAGAGACTCTCGTTTGTGATGCTACGACCTACAGAGCACGAGATCTCGTGGACACCCTCAGGACGTGGTGCTGCACACTCGTAGAGAAGAGCCTCTGAGTAACTGGGGATTAGCATTGGTGTCTCTCTGGTGGAGGCTTCTGAGGATGTTGGACCTGCTGGTTCCATCAGCAGGGCCTCACTGTAGCTCGGTGCCAGCATGTAAGAACCTGGTGCACTCAATTGACTCGAGGACGCGTGAATCTGTTCACCACTCGTTGGTGTATCGTAATTCACACCGAATAATTTTGTTATCTGATAATCCGCGTACTGGGTGTTACACTCGATTATTATTCGAAGGGGCCAGCTCAGGAGGAGAGCACTCAGGCACCAGTAAACGTAGGTATTAGTGAACCAGGGACGACCCAGCACTGCCACCAGAGTTGTTGAGGCATTGAAATTGTACCCGAGGTCCAGACCCTCACGCATCTCCATGTAATCGTCTCTGAGTTCCTGGGAATTTGTGCGAGCGGTTAAAAGAAGGTCCGAGGTATTCAGGCCATGGGATGCAATGGGGTTCGGTGGAATTTTTGGGAAACCTTGGAAATTTGAGGACTTGGTTCCTTCAAGGAATGAGGAAGGATTCATTCATTGATCAGATGACTGCCTCAGTTATTCGTCGCTTCTGAAATTTTTAGAAGAGATTTTTAAAGCTATTGTCCTGAAATTTTTTTTTCTACCTGTTCAGCGAAAAAACGCGATCTGGCCTCCTCGAACTCAGTGGCTGATCGCATATTGGAGAATGCGAAACCCTTGCTGAGGGTTATCTTCGTTATCGGGATCTTAGCGTCCATAGTCAGCTCTTTACTTATGTCCTTGACACCGCAGTAATCGTAGAAGTAAAATGATGTCGCTGCATTTGTGTTTACACGCTCGTAGTAAACCTGAGGAGTGAAAGCGATGGAGAAGCTTTAGGGGATGATAAAGTACCTGAAGTACAATTTCATGGAGTCGCTATTTACAAAAATAGAAAACCCGAGGGGAAAAAAATTTGTTTTCCCACTCACGAACGATAAATTCGACCAGTACATGTAGATTATCTCGATAATACTCAGGTCGGAAAGGGTTTGGGGATGATTACCAGGAATGAAATTATTCCCCGATGGTTTTTTTTTTCGATTCCATCATTCCAAATGGTCTATTTAATCCATAGGATCGTGGCATTGATAAATTTCACGTTTTGTAACAGATAAGGTACTTTCACACGGAGAAAATATTTTTTCTGCCGCGTAATTCCGCTTAAATCGAAATGTCTGAAATGTACCCGTGGACTCCCCATCTAAATTCTTATCTCAAGCTGCACGCAAAATAATGAGTCTGATAAATGATAAAGAAAATATACAGAAAAATAGTGAGTTTCAGAGAGTTTCAGCAGAAAGTTAATAAAAATTCCGGCATCTTCAATTAATTTTTAACGGTGAACGGAATTATTTTTTTTTCCTCAGTGAATTTACCTGAGTGGTTGTGTAATTATCCCCATTTCTGTATCTGGTAATCTGTCGTTTTCTCCTGACGTAGTGATAAGAAACAGCTTTCCACCAGATAGTGGGCTGCACTAGTCTCAACCCCGCCAATTTCGAGAGAATGCTATCCTGACTCTCGCCATGCTTCAAATCAAGTCTGATGGGTGAATGGTAGCACTCGACGAGATAAACCAGGTACAGCATACCCATGAAAGCCACCTACACAATTTTCACACGCTCCAATTACTCATCCCCCCAAAATCTACCACCCCCTGAAAATTAAATTATCCATTAAACTCACGGGTATGTAGATGTAGCCGTCGTCGCAAGGTGACACGTGCCTCGTAGACTTGAGCGGGATCTTAGAAAAATTGATGACTATCTAAAACCGCGGAAAAGCTCACGTAAAAATTCCACTCGTGATCTTCAATTATCCGTAATTACCCTGGGGAATATAAATGCCAGTGGCGTACACACCTTTGTAACATTAGCACACCTGCACCACGTGACAGCAGCTAAACACCCATAAATCAGGACTGAGAGGACCAGGCATTTGCAATTTGCCTCTTTCTGCAGTGCACCGCAGAAAGTTTGCGAAATCGGTCGTTGCTGTATTTCAAAACACCATGCGGAGATAAATTACTTATAAAAAATATTGTTTAGATTGTTGTGGTAACGCGCAAAAATTTATAATCCCAGCACTACATTTTTTAAATCTAACCATTTCCCTTTGTAAATCTAACTCAAAAATGTCACTGACAATATCTCGAAATCCAGAGCTGATATAAAAATTTTTGTAATCACCTTTTTTCTAGAAATAATTAAAACCTACAAAAAAGATTATTACAAAAAAATTGCCATCTCCTTCGGATTCCTCGTTAAATCAATGAATTCATCGAACCTTCCCCGAAGCCAATAAAAACGGAAACAATTTTAAACCGAATGCTCCCAGCTCAGGACAACTCACCTCCTCACTGTCCCGATTCATCTTGCAAATATCTCGTCACACCTCCGATTATTTTTCATTTGATCCAGCGTATGATGAAAGAGGGTATTCATCAAGCCCGACTATAATGAGAGACGTTGGATCGCCAGGATGGCTCTCCCCCCCGTAGTAGAGAACCGTGGGGCCAGCATGACGCGAATGAAAGATGAAATTGCAGGAGAATCACAAAGACTCCAAAGGACACTTAACAGCCCTCCAATCCCGCTCTTCCACCGGAGAATAAATATTTGCGCGGTCTTTTGGTACGAGTGGTAGACGACTTGTTTTGAAATTTAAAGGGCAAGAGCATGTATAGAAGACTAGAGATCTGTACCGACTAATTGAGATTGCAGCGGAAGAGACAGCGGGGCCGAGGGTGGATACAGTGCCATCCACCCTCTGAGAGCGTTTAGGGGTAACTGCCAACTGGTGTCGCCTCTTCGGCGCCCCAATCCTCGGCTATGAGCCATTTCAAATATTTCAGCTCGTGTTTTTCCACTGCGCCTGATCTCCCACCCTCTCATTCCCTTTCCACCCTTCTTCCCCTTCTCCGTCATTTCACCCTCTTCCCCCTGACCCCCCTATCCGCCCGTTCCTCTCAAACTTCCACAACCCCTCCAATCTCTCTAGCCCCTTCTGCCCCTTCAGCCCCACCAGCCCCTACAACCCCTACAAACGCCACAACCGACCTACACCCTCTGCACCCCGATATCCCGGCGTTCAACCCCACGGGATGGTGATGCGAATGGTGTACTAATCAGGACACTAACATCGTGCAATTCTCATAAACTAACTGATTATGTATCGCGTAGCGCGGCAAACTGATCATCAAAGCTGTACACTCTTGGTTTTCAAAATCAATCGAGGCTGAACAAAGCATCTCTACTCCACTGTGACCTAGACAACTCCACTCCGATTGCCACTCTCCACAAAAATTATTTATACTGAATTACTTGGTGCAAGAAAAAATGTATTAATAGTTTATTTCAGAGTATAGGATATTTTATATTTCATATTTTTCTTACATGTTTAATTGGATTTGTGGAAATATTTCGGTGAAATTTCATGGGAAATGAAATTGAAAATTTATTCTAGTATACCGAAATGACTGTTTCGTTTATAGTAATATTTTTTTTATTATTATCTATTATTATGGATAATTATGCTGAGGCTGACCAACGCGTCTCTACCCCACTGTGACCCAGACGGTTGACTCGGTGGCTGGACATCCATCGACCTGTCGATAGTCGATTCATATTTTCTGGTTGGGCTGGTGGAAATCCTTTTGATGGTCCCTTGAGGCAGAATTACACGCCTCGAATTCAATGGCACAAGAAAAAAAATTCATTTCCACAATCGAAATCACTAATCAAAAATCCAAATGATAATGAGTGAATTTAGCAATTAAAACAGATAATTGAATTCACCATGAAAAATTCATGAGAGTTTAAACAGCACCAATCATTTATTTATAATCATCAGGGTTCGGAATAATAAAAATGCAATTTAAATCAATATTCACTCAACAATAATAATGAAGAATTTACTTTAACGTGAATTCCTTCAAATTATGTCGACCATTAAAAAATGAATTGAAATTTGAAAAAATCGAATTTCTGAATGTGAATATAAGTAATGACTTTTGCACTAACAAATTTAATCATACGTAAATTTTTGTCTGAGCGTATCCTCATTTGAGTTAGAATAAAAATCAGTTCGATAGCTGAGATGATAATCAAAAGCCGAAGAAACCTCCAGAATATCTCTTACCTCTGACCTGACAACTTCATTACTCATTCAGCAATGCAAATTTCACGAATGAACCTCAGACAGTCGCACCCTTCCCCCAGAGCATTCCCCCGAACATCATTAGACAACAGATATTTTCTCTCGGTGTAGATGTACGGGTAATTCATGGTGATGTTATTAAACGTCATCCCAGGGGTTACTATGTCCTCGGTGAAGTCCTCCCCTCGTTTCGGCGAGATAAAGGCATCTCTGGCGCCGTCATGACGCCCCAGACGAACCCATATCGATTGCAATTCGAGAAGAATTTGCACTGAACATGACGCTGTACCCATCCCTCAATAATCTTTTCTACTTCCTCCTTTATTATTATTTATCCTCCCCAACGTATTGTAAAAAAATCCCCCATTGATATTAAAACGCGATAATTTTTTGGAACGCCTGATCAGGTACCTCAGATTTATCCCCGAAAAAAAATAAAGACCAAAAAAATGAGATGATTGCATTAATTTAAAGTAGGAGCTAAAATCTTTTTCTGAAAATTTCCAGATAATAATAAAAAATTCCTTTCAAATGCTGTTGCAATACTAAAAATGAGAAATAAGTTTTTTTTTCCATTTCCCTATAGTTTAACAGCAGCAAAGTGGAGAAAAAAATTATTCCAGTGTGCAAGGGTTCCCCAGTCGTTTCCCAAACTAAATGATTGATCTCGCGAGGGCAGGGGGAGGGCACTCGTAATTGCATCGATCCATTACAACGTTTTGAATTACCACCTGTACTACTCCCCCTTCCAAGGAATTTCAATTGTGTCCCTCTGACCCTGTCCTTCGTATTGCCCTTCCACTCGTTTAAAATCTACTACTCCATACCCACTAGCCAAATAGGTGAAACTCCCACAAAGACACGAAGTGCAATTTCACCAGCTGGATACCAGCCAAATCCGCATACAGATCTATAAAATAAACTATTTTTGCATTACTGAAGAACGAACAACATCTACAATTCCATTGACACAATCTCGAGTAAATCGATTCGCTCATGTTTTATTTACTAGAAATTAATGCACCGCTGCTGTTATCGAGTCAGAAATGGAAATCGATTAGTCGTTTTGTGGATTCAAAGATAGCGGGTTCGAAGAAATTCGTTTCTATTCAGATATTCGATAAATCGATTCGAGGAGATTTCTTCTTTATGGAGAGGAGGCGTTGATCATGTCCTATTTATTGATCGTCAGTGGGTCAGACAAATTCCTTCTTTTTGTGGAGAGATGGGAAAGAGAGAGAGAAATCGAGAAAAAAGAGATAGAATGGATTGTAGAATGAAAGTGCTGAGGTTAGGATGTGAAGTACTCCCAGTCGTCTAATCTTGCCACGGAGGCCTAAATTATTATCAACAAACAGTCAACAGAAGTCCTGGAAGACTCAATTTGCTAACAGAAATACTCATTCTGATCAAATAAAGGGTTCTCGTTGGTGTCATCAGCCCTAGATGAAGAGGAAAAAAGGGATGACTCGGGGATTATTCTTCTAACTGGATATTCCATTGTTATTACACTAAATTACACGTCATACGTACGTGGATTCATATGCGATCATACGTGTGCAATCACCATCAGTGAGAGGAACATGTGAAGTGCAAGATTATGGCTATTGATGACAGTAAAGTAAGCAATGATCATATCTGTGTGTGGGGATTTATTTTTTTTTTAGGGGGTTTTAATGAGCACAAGTGTTGGGGTGATGCGAATTGTTTGGATATTATAAGATTATTTGGAATTGAGGGGAACAATTGGGAGGATTTTTTTTAATAGCCCCATGGAACTTTCAATTTATTTTAATTGGATTTAAGAGGGAAATTGCGGGGTATTTTCGAACTCCCTGGGGACGTCCAACATTACATTCTATTGAATTCCCAGTGAGTTTAGAATTTTACGAAAGTTACCGAAATTTTCGGAGTATTCAGTGATTTTATTCCATTATATTTCACATATTTTATATTTTTGAAAATTTCTCTCGATAATCAGGAGAAATAGAAATTGAAATTACAAACTGATTTTGTATTATTTGGAAGGATAATTAATTCTAGACGTGGCAGTACACTCAGGATAAGAAGCACGAAATGTTACTAACGATTGTTCTTCGAGGATAAAATTTTTTCCATTGTCTTGTTTATTTCAAAAAAATATTACGTAATGTTAGGCTATTCCGAAGCCTTTTCTTGTGAAGTGGCATTTGTGGTAATCTATCTTAAATGAAAAATTATCAGTGTTAATGATTCTCTAATGAGTGAATGAATAAATGCGTAATAATAAATGCCAGTTAAGAAGTTGTGATTTCCGGGTTGAGTTTTCAAGGGATCTAAGAGAGATATCGAAATTTTAATTTTCGTTTTATCGAATGCTCGATAGAAAACATGACTATCTCTTCTAAATTCCGAGATATGTCTGGAGTACTCACGTGTTATCTGAATCACTGTGTTCGTTCTTATTTTTAGATGTCATAGCAAGAATTGGATCGCCAGAGGCATCTAAATCAGGGATGACATTCTGGAGTGGAAGGCCCGGATGGCTGGGCAAACTGGGTCTAGCGTTACTGCTGGGCTGGTTGATAATCCTGATCTTTTCAGTATTTCACGTGATGAGAAGTTCCCCTCCATCACAGGACATTACCTCTCGACTAGAGAAGGCGAATACTCAGAAGTTAAACGAAATGATCGAGGAATTCGGAATTCTGAAGAAGCAGAACGAGGCTCTGGCGAGTTTGCTGCTCTCCGACAACTCAAAAGGTGTGCGAGGGGATCACCTGGGGGAAATCAGAGACAAACTGGACATCCAGAGGATCACCGAGGACAGTGGGCCCTCATTCGGTTACGAAGACTTGAGAAGAAAAATCAAAAACAATATCCAGGAGTTCTGGTATTATGTAACGTTCGAGTTAAAGAAGGTGAAGAGTCTGGGGGACAGTTTTAACCTTGACAAGCGAAACCAGGACGTTGACGACACAATCAAGGACATCTGGGAGCATAAGAAAGAATTAATGCTGGAGCTGGATAAGCTGGAGCGCGTAGATGGCCACAGGAATTGGAGGGAGAAGGAATCTAAAGACTTATCTGACTTGGTTCAGAGGAGATTCTGGCACCTGCAGAATCCAGCAGACTGTAATAAAGCCAAAAAACTCACCTGCAGCTTGAACAAGGGCTGTGGATTTGGTTGCCAAATACATCATATAACTTACTGCTTCCTGGTGGCCTATGGAACCGAACGAACTCTCATTCTGAAATCAAAGGGCTGGCGTTACCACAAGGACGGCTGGGAGAGTGTCTTCAAGCCTCTGAGTGACACATGCCTCTCAGCAGCTGGGGCTTCTCACAGCAATTGGCCAGGGGACAGCTCTAAACAAGTGATGGCTCTTCCAATAGTCGACAACCTCTCCCCCAAACCCAAGTATCAACCTCCGAGCATACCAGCAGATCTTGCCCCTCGAATTCAGAAGCTCCATGGTCACCCCATCGTCTGGTGGGTGGGGCAGGTCCTCAAATTCCTCATGAGGCCCCAGGACAACATAAAAAAGGTCATGGACTACTCGAAGGAGAAACTAAACTTCGAGAAACCGATTGTGGGAATTCACGTCAGGAGGACTGATAAAGTGGGCACTGAAGCTGCTTACCACGATATTGACGAGTACATGGTCAAAGTCGATCAGTACTTCAATCAATTGGAGACTGAGCCGTCTGTCCGAAGAGTCTTCATCGCCAGCGATGATCCCAAAGTGATAACAAACGCCAGAAGAAGGTATCCAAGGTACGAAGTCATTGGGGATCCAGCGGTTGCAGAGACAGCTTCTGTGTCAAAACGATATTCAGACTCATCACTCCAGGGAATTATCGTTGATATCCATTTACTATCTCTCTGTGATCATCTCGTCTGCACTTTCAGCTCGCAAGTCTGCAGAGTTGCCTACGAGATAATGCAGACGTATCATGTGGATGCTCATGACAAATTCACGTCTCTAGACGACGTGTATTATTATGGGGGCCAAAATCCTAATCCAGGGGCCGCTATTCTCGATCATGTACCCAGAAGAATTGGGGAGATTGAGCTGAGGGTTGGGGACAAGGTGGAGGTCTATGGAAATCACTGGGATGGCTACTCCAAGGGGAGAAATCTCAGGACCAGTGTCACTGGACTTTTTCCCAGTTTCAAGGTGAAAAATCCAGTCGCTGTTGTTGATTTTCCCAAGTATCCAGATGTACCCATCTACAATCCTGGAAATTGACGTGGGTTTTTTTCGTAGAATTTGGAACAGATTATTTATTTCGTTTGTAAATGTGTGTTTAGGGGGTTCTTCGTGGTTCAACGTCCGAGGAAGAGGCAAAATTGCACATTTTCGATAATTGCAAAGTGAATTAAATGAGATTATGTTTATTAAAGTGAGAGAAATGGCTGTTTTGCCTTGTTCTAGTTCTCATGTTTGATAAGCCTAACTTTTACACTTATTATTTATTGATTAGTAATCATGAGCTGAGATTAGCACACGACACTGGGAACATCTACGAATGACTTTCTGTGATTTTAATTAGGCAGAGGCTAAATCAAGGGTTCCCAGGGGAGAAATTATTTTCTTTATCTCCATTGCATGGAGAGTATGGTATAATCTACTCTATACCTGATGATCAGACAGAAATTATGAGAAATAGTGTAATATATTTTGTACTGCGAAGAGTGGAGTGTTTATGCATTAAAGAAATGTCGACTTATGATGTTATATTGTACATTGTACCTAGATTTTTCATAAATAAATATTGCGAGATTTGAACGACGAATTGCTCGTTGTTTTAATTCCAAAATTTTTCCATCATTGAGTGAAGATGATTTGCAAAGTGAATAGATAATGCCTCACAATAATATTTCGTTTGAAAAAATTTCAATATTGAATTAACTGGTGAAATTTGAAAATCCAAAATTTTCAAAAATGTATCGGGAGTGCATGATAATTGAGGAGGTATTCGCTGAAATTTGAAAATTCGAAATTTTTGAAAAAATATCAGGGGAGCATGACAATTGAGCAGGTATTCACTGAAATTGAAAAATTCCTAATTTTCAAAAATGTATCAGGGGAGCATGACAATTGAGAAGGTATTCGCTGAAATTGAAAAATTCGAAATTTTC